ATGTTCAAGAATTAGTCAGAACTGATAACCGGTAAAAAATATGTGATATGGTTTTGAATATGAGCGCTCCCAAGTCATAGCAACAACCTCGACGCCCGGCGTTGCAGTCTCCATTGGCCGCGCTGCGTTGGCCTGCGCTGCGGCATTAATCGACTGCCAATAAACAAACGAAAAGGGTGATGCACCTTGAGGAAGATGGCTGGTGAACTAGGTAAATCGGCACGCATGTTTGATGTGGTGCAAAAGCAGCAACTTTAATCTGAAAAGTGGGAGAGGGGTGGGGGGATCAGTTAGCACTGCTGGCTCCCCCCCACCTTGAAAAGTGGGGTAGGGCATGGCCCCCCTGGCCCCCCTGTTCCTACGCCCATGCTCCATACAACTGGCAATCACGCCTCCGACGCAAAGGAAGTGCCACCAGCGCTGCACGAGTAAATGCAGACCATGTGCTGCAGTGGCCGACCATTTATTTGGCAATTGTTACCCGACATTGGCAGGCACTCATTGGTAAGCATTGGTTGGAATATAACATAGGTGATGCCTGAAGAGCTAAAGCTCAGCAACCAGAACTATAGAGATGATCTTTACCTGGGCAGACAGGACATGACGAGAGCGTGGTGTTGCTGTTCCTGAGTATTTCCACCTTGATACAATAAGTGGTGTCAATCTTGAGAGAGCATTTTAAACAAAGCTTGCAACTTAGAAATTTTGAACACTTCAAGCATATGTCGTTGGCGTTGGAAAGCGAGCTGGCGTGTAAAAAATATCAGATCAGGCTTTTGACATAAGAGAATGTTTTAAACCCTCCACTGACAGAAAATAAATCAAGTTCTTTCACAATGCCATTTCATAGGAAGAGCGTCCTGCATCATGATCATCACGATTTCACTACATCATGAAGCACCGAAATCCGTAATGTTTTGTAGCAGCATTCGAGTTATATGACCCGGTATCATGTGGGAAACTCATCGCTTCACGAAACGTTCTTGCACGGCGTGCTGGCGTCTAGTAAGCTGGAATGGTATCAGCCGGACTCAGGCTTGGGGTGCACAGCGTCACTCATATTAATGGAGCTGAAGTGTTGCAGCTTAACCGGCATTGTGAACACGATGCGTTTATTTCCAATAAGTGTGAATCGCATTATCCGGACTCACGTATGAGGTGCACTGCGCTAAGAAACGTATATGTACCGTACAGAAAACCTTGGCTTTGATTTTGTCTTCGGTTTCCGGGACTTGGCCCGTTTCCTTCGGATTGCTGTTCGCACATTATCTCGGCAGAGCATGTGTATGGATGTCAGAGCGGTGTTCAGGTCTCGCCGATCAAACTTATGCAAGAGGTGCACTACTTTAAGAGGGTGCTTTTAGTCTGTCCGCACGACATGATGGCATCTCACGGCGTTGCATACATGTCCATGAAGTTAGCGATTTATTCAGCGCTTTTTTCAACGACGACTTCCGATTGACCTAAAAAGGGTCTCAAGGTTAATTGGAGCAAAGGAACCCCAAAAATGACCTTTAATTTGCAATAGCATGTGACCTTCAAGGTCGAAAACTCCCAAAAACTCGAACTCGGGAACTCGAAATCACCCAAAAATTACCGGCCGAATTTCGACTTGAAAGTATCAGAATATTCACCATAAGACACTAGCGTCTGTCAAAAAGTTCTGACCTCTCAAGGTCACCCTTCAAAGTCAAACGCTGGCGTAATGGATGGGAACTCCATATCACCCAAAAATTACCGGCTGATTTGTATCTAACAAACATCAGAACATTCACCACCGAAAGAGCTAGCGTCCATCGAAAAGTTTAGACCTTTTAAGGTCACCCTTCAAGGTCAAACGCGAGCTCAAAGAACGGGTAACTCACTATTAACAAAAAATTACCGGCCAATTTTTAACTTACAAACATTAAAATATTCACCACAGAAAAAAAACTGGCGTCCGTCAAAAAGCCTTGATCTCTCAACCTCACCCTTCAAGGACAGAAGGCATTTCAAAAGACGGGGAACTCAATATCACCCAAAGATTACCGGCCGATTTTTACCTTGGAAATGTCAGAATATTCACCACAGAAAGAGCTAACGTTCGCCAAAAAGCTATGACCTCTCAAGGTCACCTTTAGGTCAAACGCGGGCTCAAAGGACGGGGAACTCCATATCACCCAAAAATTACCGGCCTATTTTTAATTTGTAAACATCAGAATATTTCCCACAGAAAGAACCAGCGTCCACCAAAAAACCTGACCTCTCAAGGTCACCTTTCAAGGCCACATGCGGGCTCAAAGGATAAGGAGCTCCATATTACCCAAAAATTACCTGCCGATTTTTAACTCACAAACATCAGAATATTCACCACACAAAGAATTAGCGCCCGTCAAAAAGTCCAGACCCCTCAAGGTCACCTTTCAAGGTCAAAAGCTGGTTCAAAAAACGGGGAACTCGATATCAACTGAAGCTTACCGGCCGATTTACAACTTGCAAATGTCAAAATATTCACCGCAGAAATAATTAGTTCAAGAACAGTTTCCCGTCCTTTGAGCCCGCTTTTGATATTGAAGGGTGACCTTGTGAGATCAGGACTTTTTGACGGACGCTGGTTCTTTCTGTGGTGGTAATTCTGATGTTGGTGAGCTAAGAGTCGGCCGGTAAGCTGTGGGTGATATGGAGTTCCCCGTCCTTTCAGCCCGCGTTTGATCTTGAAGGGTGACCTTAAGAGGTGTAGACTTTTTGACGGACGCCAGTTTTGTCTGTGGTGAATATTTCAATGTTTGTAAGTTTCAAATCTGCCCGTAATTTTTGGGTGATATAGAGTTCCCCATCTTTTGAGCCCGCGTTTGATATTGACCGGTGACCTTGAAAGGTCAGTTCTTTTTGACGGACGCCAGTTTTGTCTGTGGTGAATATTTCAATGCTTGTAAGTTAAAAATCGCCAGGTAATTTTAAAGTTGCATGGAGTTCCCAGTCCCTTTACCCCGCGTTTGACCTTACAGGGTGACCTTGAAAGGCCTGGACTCGTTGACGGACGCTAGCTCTTTCTGTGGTGAATATTTTGATGTTTGTAAGTTTAAAATCAGACGGTAATTTTTGGATGATGTGGAATTCCACATCCTTTGAGCCCGCGTTTGTCCTTGAAGGGTGACACTGAGAGGTCAGGGCTTTCTGACGGACGCTAACTCTTTCTTTGGTGAATATTCAGATTTTTGTAATCTAAAAATCGGCCGTTAATTTTTGGGTGATATAGGGTACCCCGTCCTTTGAACCCGCGCTTGACCTTGAAGGGTGACCTTGCGAGGTCAGGACTTTTTGACGGACGTTAGCTCTTTCTGTGGTAAATGTTGTGATCGTTGTCCCTTAGAAGTCGGTTGGTAATTTTTGGATGGCATAGAGTTCCTTGTCCTTTGAGCCCACGTTTGACCTTAAAGGGTGACCTTGAGAGGTCAGGTTTTTTGACAGACGGTAGTTCTTTCTGTGGAAAATATTCTGATGTTTAGGAGCTTAAAATAGGTCGGTAATTTTTGGGTGATATGGGGTTCCCCGTCGTTTGGGCCCGTGTTTGACCTTGAAGGGTGACCTTGAGAGGTCAGAACTTTTTGACGGACGCTAATTCTTTCTATGGTAAATATTCTGACACTCGGAAGTTGAAATTCGGCCGGTAATTTTTGGGTGATATCGAGTTCCCCGTCCTTTGATCCAGCTTTTAACCTTAAAGGTCACATGATGTTGCAAAACACATGTCATTTTTGGTGTTCCCATGCTACAATTGATCCGGACAACCTTTTTCAGGGAAATCGGAACTCGTCGCTGAAAATGTCGCTGAATAAATCTCTAGCTTCACGGACATATTGCATGACCCATAGTTATTGGGTCGAAGTGTTGCAGCTCAAGCAACACTGTCAGCATGATGTGTTTATCTCTAATAAGCGGGAATCGTATTATCCGGACTCGTGTATGAGGCGCACAGCGCTAATAGACGTATATGTACCGTACCGAAAACGCTGGCTTTGCTTTTGGTCTCCGGTTCCCGGGTCTTGGTCAGTTTCTTTAGGATTGCTGGAAGTGTTTTAGCTCAACCAATATTGTTGGCTCTTTGTCTGTGTTTCCCATTTGGAAATATCAATTCAAGTGTCACAACTGGGCATATTGTAGGAGGTACAAAAGATGCAATAGTAAGGCAAGAGTATATGCGCCTTTCTGGTTTACGCGCGATGGACCGTAAGTTATCAGATATATGATAGAAATGGTCAAAATTATGGCATATACGAAGATTTAGCGCAGCAACAGAAAATTTGAAGTGCGAATGTGAAGAGCTGGAATGCTTTTCTTGCTTGCTCGTGTCCGTGATTTGGTGCTTATTTTGCCCTTTTAGTACATGTCATAAATCGTCTGCTGTCCGCAGGTTAAAAATCACAACTAGTTTACTGCCGAAATAAATATTGTCAGATGGTAATTTCTGAAGATGATAAGCAATCATACCAGCATTTTGGGTAGCAACAGTCGAGACCTCGAAACGAATAATGATAATTGTCTCATTATTTTTGGTGCTAAGGGCGTCGTTTGGGTTGTATGATTTCAAAGTTGGGCAATTCTGCTGACGCGAGCTGATTATGCCCGTTTCGTGCTGCGCGTAGAATGCTCACGATGAATATTTTTGTTCTTCTAAAAAGGTGAATGACTTGAAGAAGACTGAACTTCCACCTGCGGGAGGTTGAGTGATCGTAGCGGCTGTGTGATAACGGCCCGCCCCGGAGACTGTCCCAGTTAAGAATATCGACCGCGCATACGCTGGCTGGGCTCGGCCGATCAGCCACTCGACCTGGAAGGCCTCCTCCGGTGGTACACGCTCGAGCGTGCAGACACCGGCTGGGATCAGCCGAGCGGCCGCGCATCGGCCCCGTCGCAGGCCGGGACAGGAACCCGTCCCGAGCCCGACCCTGGTAATGTCCACGGAACCGTCAGCTGGGCCCGGGTGAGGGGGGGGGGGGGCACTGTCATCCAACGGAGCGTCAGATGGGCCTGAGGTTGTCCACCAGACCGTCAACTGGGCCCGGGGGCTGTTAATCAACGGAGTGTCAGCTGGGCTTGGGAGTTGTCCACCGGACCGTCAGCTGGGCTGGGGAGTTGCCCACCGGACCGTCAGCTGGCCGCGAGGGTGGGGTGGGGGGGGGGGACTGTCGTTCAACGGAGCGTCAGCTGGCCCCGCGGGGAGAGGGTCCACCGGACCGTCGACACGCTGCGTCTGACCCAAAGAATTATGCCCCAGTCTTTCTTGAACGGACTCGAATATGAAGACCAGTTTAAAACTTGGGTTGTGGTATTCCAATGCCGTCATGGCCTGCGATTGGCGCATCAGTCTATTGCAGCCTGTATCATGTGACTGTGGCATATGACGTGGAAGTTATGGGCTAAACCCTGACGTCAGCACTCGGCGAACCGACCCCCTCCCCTCCTAACTTCCGCGGGCGCGAGAAAAAGGCGCATCTCCCCTGCTGCCCATATTCTCGCCTTATCCTGCATCCTCGCGACGCCCCATTTGTCTGGGGCAAGCTGCATGCACCAGCCACAAGTGGGTCCTCTGGTGGGGCCTCGTCCGAGCCCCGAGCGCATGCCCCGTGTAGGGGTCCCTGGGCGGGCTAAGTGTCGGCGGACGGACCTCAGGTCCATATAGTATTGCCCCACAATTGTTAACACACTATCACCCCATATACCTAAAATTGTCATTACTCGCCGAACGGGCTCTAATTCGAGCCAACTCAACGAGAAAAGCTCCCACTCGGCGACAAACCATCGTCTGAGACGACGCACTAGTTCTCGATGCGCACAGCCGGACGGCTCTCGCGTTCTCACCAGGGTGGCTCTTGAGTCCTCACCAAGGTCGGACTACTCTTGCGTCCTCACCAGGGCCGGGCGACTCTCGGGTCCTCACCAGGGCCGGGCGGCTCTCGCGTCTTCACCAGGGCTGGACGGCTCCCGCGTCCTCACAAGGGGCGGGCGGCTCTCGCGTCCTCACCAGGGTTGGACGGCTCTCGCGTCCTCACCAGGACCGGGCGGCTCCTGCGTCCTCACCAGGGCTGGACGGCTCTCGCGTCCTCACCAGACCGGGCGACTCTCGCGTTCTCACCAGGGTGGCTCTTGAGTCCTCACCAAGGACGGACTACTCTCGCGTCCTCGCCAATGTCGGACTACTCTCGCATCCTCATCAGGGCCGGGCAGCTCTCGCGTCCCCATCAGACCGGGCGGCTCTCGCGCCCTCACCAGGGCCGGGCGGCTCTCGCGTTCCCACCAGGGTGATTCTTGAGTCCTCACCAAGGTCGGACTACTCCCGTGTCCTCACCAGGGCCGGGCGACTCTCGCGGCTTCACCAGGGCTACACGGTAGATAGGCAGAGCATTTATTCATTCAGTCCCCTCTCACCTTCCCAGGTAGCACGGCGGCATCACGCGAGTGTTCGGCGCCGTGGCTAGCGCTGCCGTGCAGCAGGCACCGCTTACCTCAGCACGAGACCTGCCCGCGCTCAGCACGCGGCCAGGACCCACGTGGTCGCGTTGTCCGTCATGTTTCTTGCTTTGGCCGCTCTATTTCTTGTTTTAAGCATTTCCTCTGTCTGCTGCCTGCGGCTGCCAATGGGTCCTGGGCCGCACGGCGCACGTACGTGAGTGTTGGCGCGCCGGGTCACCGCCACTGGTCCCCCTTCCATCACCACACCGCGAGGCACGCATTCGTAAAGGCCGTTCCTTCAAGGAAATATATTATCGAAACGTGACTATCGATATGGCAGTACTTCCACGTCACAAATGCACAGGCAAGCGTACAATACGTGCTCCAGAGAGACATATTCCCTTGAGCGTGCTCACGCACACACGGCTGGATACTTCTGATCAAGCGGCGTGCATGGCAAATGGAATGCAGTTGGGTCTGTGTGTGTGCGCGCGGGCGCGTGCGTGCGTGCGTGCGTGCGTGCGTGCGTGCGTGCGTGCGTGCGTGCGTGCGTGCGTGCGTGCGTGCGTGCGTGCGTGCGTGCGTGCGTGCGTGCGTGCGTGCGTGCGTGCGTGCGTGCGTGCGTGCGTGCGTGCGTGCGTGCGTGCGTGCGTGCGTGCGTGCGTGCGTGCGTGCGTGCGTGCGTGCGTGCGTGCGTGCGTGCGTGCGTGCGTGCGTGCGTGCGCGCGCGCGCGCGCGCGCGTGCGCGTGCGCGTGCGCGTGCGCGTGCGCGTGCGCGTGCGCGTGCGCGTGCGTGTGTGTGTGTGTGTGTGTGTGTGTGTGTGTGTGTGTGTGTGTGTGTGTGTGTGTGTGTGTGTGTGTGTGTGTGTGTGTGTGTGTGTGTGTGCCTCATCCTCACTAAAAATAAATGAAACGACGTGGATCACTATGATGCGATGAGAAATCCTGACAAGTAAAAAACATCGGATAACCCGAATCCTTCAGATAAAGTTCACCGAGAGGCGATGCTGGTGATCCTCCATGCTCAGTATTGCGTGGTGCGGTGAGCAGGCTCACAGCGATACAGCTCGCTCGGCTACGCCTGGGTGTGCACGTCTGTCGTTCTTCAAAACCGCGTTACATATCAAGCCCCGCGTTATATCACATCTAGCAGGAAGCAAAACCGGCAGGCACAGCAATGAAAGTGGTGAAGCCGACACAAAATTCGGGCGAAGCGAGCGCCAGCGATACCCGATTGTTGAAGCATAATAGCTGCTGAATAGCAGGCGAGCTCGACTGAAGCCAGCGTCCGCGGTGGCCAAAAGGCCGCGACGGAGTAATGCGCAGCGGCCGCAGCCCATTCAGAGAAGGGACACTCGGGGATTTCCCAGGAACGCGCGCGGCTGGGGCGGCGCCAGCAGGCCGAGCGAAGACCCGGCAGTCGGCGCCGCGGCCGGCGCGCGGCGCGTCTTTGTCCGCGCCGCCGCCGTCGCCGGCGCCGGATCGTTCACCCGACCGCGTTTGGCCGGCCGGCCGGCGGCGGCGGGCGCCCGGCGGGTGCGCTTGGCCCGGCCGCGGGGCGCCGCCGGCTCGTCCCGCTGCGCGGCGCCACCAGCGCGCGCCGCTTCGTCCAGCTGCCGCCTGCGCTCGACGTGCGGCTGGATCACCTCCAGCAGGCGATGGCCGTACTTGCTGAAGTTGGCGACGGTCACATGCGTGATGCTGAGCATCTGCTCGCGCGTGGTCGGCAGCTGGTCGGCCATGTCGTGCAGCGCCTGCATGTTCATGATGGAGGCCACCGGCACGTCGGCGGCGCGTGCCAGCTCCTGGCACCGCTCCGTCAGCTGGCGCAGACAGAGCTCGCGCAGCGCGGCGCGCTCGGTGGCCTGGCCGGTGGCGGCGCCCGGACGTCCGACACTGCTGCGGCCGCGCCCGGCGCCGGTCGCCCCAGACCTGCGCAGGAACGACAGCTCCACCTGGCCACAGGTCACGTGTCAGAGCCAGCGGTCAGGCGGTCGGCGGCCCTCACTGGCGTCAGCCGTCAGCCGTCTGTGGTCTGGCGCCAACACTGCACGGCACAGGCACACTGACAGCACAATCAATGCCACAAGCACAACTACCGTTAAGGAAATTGGGTCTTACAGAAACCTATTTCGAAGTTCAGTTCGTTCAGGGCAAATTCATTGGCTAATTTTGAGCCATTCTTTTTCCAAGAGGCCCAGCTGGGTCGTAACGCTGTACTCATTTGACCATATGTCGGGCTTAACGTGCAGGAGGCCAGTACGCGGCCGTTGCGAGCGAGACTTAATTCTTCAGGGCGAGACTTAATTCTTCTCAAATACTTCGGGGCGAGTAGACCTTGCTTAAACTACGAGCACATTGTGGGTTCGGAGTTCTCCTTCTGACACTCATCAACCTTTAGTATGCCAGAAGACGTTAGAACCCGGCGTTATCAGGCATTTGATTCACTGACAAAAAAGCAGCCAGAACGCGAGAACAATGGCCGGTAAAGATTTCGGCAAGTTCAATCCGTTAAAATTTGTGCTTTATAAATTGTCACGCATGAGCGTACAGACTGATGCGACATGGCGAGATTTTCCTGCAAAATTGCAACGTTGTCACAATCCTGTCTTTCCTTTTCGATTAACACGGAAAAAAATGTTCTTGATGCGAAAAAAGAACGACGAAAGGGTCGAGTCTGATCCAGATCTGGCCGCCTCGGGATTGCTGCGACACGGGACTAACTGAACTGAACAGAGGACGCAGCAGACAATCGCGCTGCCACGTGTGTTGGCAGATGCGTGCACGACCGCAAACCGGTGCGCCACATCGTGCGCTACCTAATGTATCCGTTCGTTCCGTGTCCGCGTTTTGACGTCAGGTCTCAATGACTAGAGCAGACTTAGGTGTGAACCCAACCGTACCGGTAAGCGAACGTTCTAGCTTCAACTCACTCATTTATTCAAATTCCGATTGTTTCCGATTTTCCAAAACTCCAATTTTACCAAAAATCCCAAAATCCCAACTCCCATGATCATAGGTCAAAATTCCGATAAACAGAGGTGCGAGCGTTTTTCAATAGCTATCCCATATAAAAGGCCTTCGTCGATAAACAAAAAGATCGGGTCCAGAGGACTGTAGGATTTAATCAACATAAAAATACCTTTGTTTTCTCGCCGCAACCCGTATTTGTGACAAAAACGATCACGCGCGTCTTTTTTAAAATTTAGCTGGAGCAATGCTGTCTAAGTTTGAATAATTCCATGGAAGTAGCCAATAGGCTGTATCACACACCAGATGAGAACAGCAAACTGTGAAATTTCGCTTTGAGGCGGAAAAAATAGTATTAGCTCAGCGCAAGTGGTAAAAGCTCTTCTACGAAAAAAAGTGGAATCCAGGACCCACAACACGCCTAGAGAAGCTGGCGCAAGATGTGAAAGATGCCCAGCTATACAAGGCAAAGGCTACACAGAACTGATATAATACTGTATGAAAACCATTATCAACACACAACAACCTAAATGAGACAGACCACAAAGCTCGAATGCCATACGATTGCCGGTTTTTGAGAAGACGCAACAGACCTGCTTATTTCACGATGATCAACCGATTTCCAGCTGGAGCACGTTTTCGTTAGGATGAGTAGGCGAACAGTACCAGAACTCGCAATTCTGGGGCAACAAGCCAGCTCAAGAGGCAGTAGATGCCCTCTACAGCTTCAGACGCACGGCATGGTGTGCAATCACTCCATGAGGCATCAGTGGCCCACTTTAGGCACGGGATTCAGACGGACGACCGCAGCTGTCAGAGCTGCTCAGTGCCGGGAAACCCGGGCAAGAACTTCGAGCGGCCTACAGACTCAGTGCAGGGGCAAACCAGACGAGCTGTCCCAAAGGCGGCTCCAGCGGGATGTGGCACCCGTGGCACTGTCCACCGTGCCAGAGAAGCAAACAGCTGGCTGGACAGTGCATTGATGGTGAGATGACCGCTACCGCTGGCCACCGCGCTCCCCTGACTTGATGCCTCGCCTGTGGCGTCTGTCGTCCGGTGGGGTCACCTCAAGACTAGAGGTCTAGCAGAACAATGCTGGAGCGGTGCTGGACATAAGGAGTCGGCGGTGGCGGTGAAGCATAACCCGGCGGTCTCGTGGCGCGCGGCGGAGGACGCTGCCCCGGGAGAGAACAGCCGGGTGCCTTGTGCTGACAGGGGGCCATGCAGAACTTACGCTACATTGCAATTTTAGAATGTGAGTAAGTTCGTGGTTGTCATGAGACAAAATGTTTATGTGCAATGAATGTTCGCAAAAAAATGCAATGTCTGTGCGCATTCATAATGTTTGCGTACAAGTCTTTTTTAGCAAGAAAACACGTGTGATTTTTCTGAATAATCCGAAACACATGTGAAATGTCCCGTTCCCTGAGACCAGCATCCATTTGAAACATTTGCGTTTTGCGACTTATGTGCGGGCCACAACGGTAAAATCTGAAATCACCCCAGATTCTTCGCTGCTGTCGATAACCAAGCACATGGCATACCAAATGGCTACCGCACGCTATATCATGATGAAAATAAGTTCGCAAAATTGAAGCACTCGGCTTCAGGGTGTGTAACACGCTGTTCAAACATACTGGTGTCGGTTGCGGAAGGTGCCTGACTACAATACACCGGTGGTAAGCGTGATAATAAATGACACCTACGAGACAAAAAATGACAAATATCGCATCTCTTACCGCCTTGCTCGAGCGTCACCTCAAGACGCATCCTAGCGGTGCTACTTCACTACGTCAGCGTTTCCGTCCGTGGTGTGTTACGGCCGAGAAGTATGATATTACAACTTTTGCACTTCGCAAAACTACAATAGCTATGTAATTATTCTGTATTTACTAGGAGTCAGACATGGTTTCGAATCAGACCTTGCCCGTTCCCAGAACATAGGATCAGGTAGCTGTTTTGGCAGGCCCAAATCTCTTCAATCGTGAGCAAGACCACCGGACCGCTGGCCGTGTCTCAGCCACCGCTTACCTTGTGCTGTGTTCCGGCGACGGACAGGCGCAGGCCGTGTCCGAGCCACCGCTCACCTTGTGCTGTGTTCCGGCGGCGGACAGCTGGCACGCGCGCAGGCCGTGTCCGAGCCACTGCTCACCTTGTGCTGTGTTCCGGCGGCGGACAGCTGGCACGCGCGCCGGCCCGGCCTCAGGTACGCCAAGACCACATTCTTGACGCCGGGCACCATGTCCTCCCGCAGGTAGTCCTCGAGGACGAGGTGGTGCATCAGACGCCCGCAGTCCTGGCGGTCCCAGCTCTTGCACTTGCCGTACACGGACAGGCTGTTGTAGCCTGCGGATGGGCGCCGGACGTGACGGCCGGCCGCCCCCTCTGACCACGGACCGGCTTCACGGCACACAGCCAGCCACCACGAGGATATCACGTCACGGACCAAAGCATGCGGCGGGCGTCACCGTCAAGAAACAAAGCTTGCAGCGACTGCCAACGTCACGGACCGCATCCAGAACATGAGGCGTCCCAAAACGGGTTCAAGCACTGTCCGTGGCATCGCGACGCCGTTCCAAGGAGGCACTTCCGCCCACTATCTTTATCCCGGGCAGGAGAATCGGCCCTTAAACCCGTTGCGCTGCCAGATCCTCGTGCTGTTGCCAGATCCTTTGTTAGCGCGTCGGACGCGCGTGCGTAGCCACAGGCTATAAACCGCACATCCGTCCTACTATTGTCGAATGTGTCATACTTTTCGATAGTTATTGACACTGTGCACAGGATATGCTTTCTGCTTTCCATCTCCCGCCTGGTGATGCTGGACGGTCGTTCAGGGGCGAGGAGACCGAGGAATTTTCATTCTATGTTTGACGGCTTAGCACGCAACTTATTTTTGCCATAGTTGTATACGATTACGGGTGACATACCGGGTCTGTTCCCGTCGCCCCTTCATAAAAAAGATGACATTAGTTCCGTGGGAGATAGGAGCACTGAACCAACGTCAATCCCGTTGTTTAGGAAACAGTTCTTTGGAGGGTGTATCAGTTGTCTGCGCGCAACTTAAGCAACCCTCCGCCCCGCCCCCCTCAAATCCGCTGTCAACGAAAACCTTTCCATATCTGGAGGAGTGCATCGCTGTGTGCGCGCAACTTGGGCAAACAGTTTTGGCATACTGACGGTGAATAACATTGAACGTTGAGGCCACTGAAAAAGATATGTTCAAAACACACATCACGAAAAATAATTGCATACCTGTAATGAACATAAACATTTGCATGGGTATATATATATATATATATATATATATATATATATCCTTTAATATATATATATCCTTATATATAAGGCAGAATCCTTTCTTTGATGCATGCTTGATTAAAAATAACTGCTGACTCATCATTCATCAGCTTTTTGACGAATCGTTCTAGTTTCCGGGCCTTTGACTCGGCATCATCGCTTAGATTAAAGATGGTTCGCACACAATTTTTCATATATTCATCACTCATTACATCCTAACGTTTCGAGATCCTATATCACTGTCGGAGAGGACTGAATGGCACAAGAAATAACTTTTGTGTTTTGAAGGATACAAAATTATGCACTTCTGTTGGAAAACGTGTTTTGGTACGGAGAACACAAATGAAACAAACTAACTGAAGTAAGACAGAGACCTATTTTCACTTTCGTACACATCAGAAACACTCATAATAGGAAAACTATAAAGACACAATGTGCACACTATTGCCACAATCACATCAATAGTGCCCAACGTCCACCACCTAATAGTTCAAGAGTTGTACAAGACTGTCTGTTTAGGGGCGGAGAGGGTTCGTTAATGAACATGCTTTCCCTAATTTGAAGGCGTGTTCAAACGTTTTCATTGCGTGTTCGTTTGAAGACGTGTTCTCAATTCAAACGTCTTCGAATTTGGGAAAGCATATTCATTAAAGAGCTTTCTCTGGCCCTCACCAGACCAAGTCTCACAACTCTTGAACTATTAGGTGGTGGGCGGTGAGCACTACTGATGTGATTGTGGCAATAGCGTTCTCATTGTGTCTTTGTAGTGTTCCCATTATGAGTTTCTGATATGCATCAAAGTGAACATAGGACTATGTCTTATCTAACTTAGTTATGCTTGACTTGTGTTCCCCGTACCAAAAGATGTTTCCCAACAGAAGTGCATAATTTTTATCCTTTAAAACTCAAAACTTACTTCTTGTGTCATTCAGTCTCCTCCGACGTTGAGATAGGATCTCGAAACGTTAGAATGTAAAAAACGATGAATACAGAGTAATTTTGCGCGAACCATCATTGATCTAAGCAATGATGCCAAGTCAAAGGCCCGGAAACTAGAACGATGCATCAAAAAGCTCGTCAATGCTGAGTCGGCAGTTACTTTTAATCAAACATATATATATATATATATATATATATATATATATATATATATATATATACGCATATCGTCAACTTTACACAAATGTGTAAAAAAATACACGCCCGTCCTCTGTTTATGCCATGCATCAATAAAAAGCGCAACATAACCATATGGATGAACTGCGCCATTCTCTGCTACGGCCTTTCCAAACTCATACGAAAAACCACCTTTTATTGCAGAGGAGAATGGAGGACGCTGGCGGCGGCCTTGAGAGATTTGATGAGGTCACGGAAAACAGACCCATAATGATTGCAACTTTCTTGTGTGCCTCACTATTCAAGATGATTTAATATCTGGATTTTCGGGCGCATGGAGAACTGCGATCATTTTGCGCCAATTTGTTCCAGATGATTTAAGCGGACATTTGGACGTTAGGCGTGACGTGCATTGCAAAGAGCAAGATGTCTTCGATCATAATTTGAGCGCGCTCGGGTGCGTATTGCACGTCATACCTTTTCTCATGTCACCTGCTCCTGACGCGCGCCCAGCGCGCCGACAAAAAAGCGGTGTGGACGGACTTAAGCGGACACAGTGGGCACCATCTTTTGACAAAACTACCGGACCATTGCGGCCATGGCGGATAACGAACGGTGAAACGCGACACGGGCAGCCCCCAGTCGCCACAAACAACAACGTGGGGTGGAAGACACGCTTGAAACACGGCATGATCGGGTATTTGACGGCAGGGTGGAAAATTATTCGTTGGTCCGGCATTGCACTTATCACTTGATCCATGATACTCGCGCTGGCAACGAAGGTTTCGCACTCACGAAAAAAATTATTCGCACCTTGTGCTAAGCATTGTCCCCGTACAACCGTACTCATAAACACGAGTGGGTGCTCATAAATTCTCTTCTTCCGTCCAGCTCAATCAGCGGTCTCGTCTACACAGCCTGCCAAAGTTCTCGTCGGCGTTTTGTCTTCTGCTGACACCTTTTTCGGGGGGGGAGGGGGGGGGGGGGCGAGGGGAGGGGGGGGGGAGAGGCTGGATAGTCCGGTCACCACTGACCAGCCATCACTCACCGCGGGCGACCATCATCTTGGCCGAGCTGCCCCTCAGAACGTCGACAAATTGGTGCTCGGTGACGTCGCCGGCTTGGCGGCCGCTGCACAGGGTTCGGATGTCGGCCACCACCTCCCGAGCGATGGCCGTCACGTCCTTGACGACGACAGGCTCCTGCGTGGGGTGGCCGAGACCTCAGAGCTGCGCCTCGACACGAATCTCCAGCACGAGGGACAGCACTGCCACAGATGGCCGGTCCAGGGACGGGTCCCATGCAACGGCAAAGGAAGACGATATTGGTGTTGGTAGAAACATTGGTCAAATGCCTAGGAAATCGGCCTCGGAGACCCGAACACTTTCATTTTAATGGTGAAAACATTCGCAGCATACACGCTGAGTGCCTGCAAGAAAAGAACCGACGGAATCCGACCATTCAGTGATCTGAGAACGTAGCGACCAGAGTCACTTGAGAACGTTCCAGTCAAGGCTGACGGCCCCCTAGCCGTCTGAATAACTGACCGGCCATCGCATGACTCGGAGGCTGAACAGCGCCCAACGCCCGCCTCCCTCTCTCAAACCAACTACACAAACCAGTCCAGGGCCGGACCCGTGTCCGGCGCCACCCCGTCGGCAGCCGCCCCCGCCTTCGCCGCCGCCAGCGAGGTGGCGCTGACGGCGCACCTGGCTTCGGCAGTTGTCGCAGGCGGTGCGCGGGTCGCGCCGGCACTCGGCCCGGTCGAAGCGCTCTCCGAAGTGCTGCAGCACGGCCGAGCGCCGGCAGTCGGAGATGTTCTCGGCGTAGCGGCACATCTTCCACGCGTTCGCCTTGCGATTTTCGTAGGCTTCGCCGCGGTTCTCCCGGTCGCCTGCCGGGGCACGCAGCGTCACGGCGGCGACCGGACGCGACGCGGGAACCGCGACGGCGTGGCGAGGCCCCAGCGCGCTGATCGCGGTAGCGTCGATCATGCGTTAGCGAGAGAGAGCGGAGAGGGATCCCGATCCGGCCTCACCGGGTGACCGAGCCATACTGAACCGCCCACCCCACATCACAACGATCGGACGTACATTTCGTTTCAAGCTGACTCCGTGACTTTCATGCTTCCGCTGCGAGTGCTGCGCACAGCATGCCACCACATTACAGGCGGCTTGGCCTGGTGGTGTAGCGCCCGGGAGGATCTCCCTGGCTTCTAGAGGCCCGCAGGCCCGCTCAACCGCGGACGCTCGGGCTGTGCGGTGATGTGGTCAGGCCCGCTCAACTGCAGACCCTCGGGCCGTGCGGTGATATGGTCAGGCCCGCTCAAACGCGGACGCTCGGGCTGTGCGGTGATATGGTCAGGCCCGCTTAACCGCGGACGCTCGGGCCGTGCGGTGATATGGTCAGGCCCGCTCAACCGCGGACGCTCGGGCCGTGCGGTGATATGGTCAGGCCCGCTCAACCGCGGACGCTCGGGCCGTGCGGTGATATGGTCAGGCCCGCTCAACTGCGGACGCTCGGGCCGTGCGGTGATATGGTCAGGCCCGCTCAACCGCGGACGCTCGGGCCGTGCGGTGATATGGTCAGGCCCGCTCAACTGCAGACCCTCGGGCCGTGTGGTGATGTGGTCAGGCCCGCTCAACTGCGGACGCTCGGGCCGTGCGGTGATATGGTCAGGCCCGCTTAACCGCGGACGCTCGGGCCGTGCGGTGATATGGTCAGGCCCGCTTAACCGCGGACGCTCGGGCCGTGCGGTGATATGGTCAGGCCCGCTCAACTGCGGACGCTCGGGCCGTGCGGTGATATGGTCAGGCCCGCTCAACTGCGGACGCTCGGGCCGTGCGGTGATATGGTCAGGCCCGCTCAACTGCGGACGCTCGGGCCGTGCGGTGATATGGTCAGGCCCGCTCAACCGCGGACGCTCGGGCTGTGCGGTGATGTGGTCAGGCCCGCTCAACTGCAGACCCTCGGGCCGTGCGGTGATATGGTCAGGCCCGCTCAACCGCGGACGCTCGGGCCGTGCGGTGATATGGTCGGGCCCGCTCAACCGCGGACGCTCGGGCCGTGTGGTGATATGGTCAGGCCCGCTCACTCGACCTCGGCCGTGCGTTATATGGTCGGCCCGCTCAACCGCGGACGCTCGGGCTGTGCGGTGATATGTCAGGCCCGCTCAACCGCGGACGCTCGGGTGGCGGTGATATGGTCAGGCCCGCTCAACTGCGACGCTCGGTGCGTGTGCGGCGGCCGATGGTCACTCACAGATCCTCGTGATATGGTCAGGCCCGCTCAACCGCGGACGCTCGGGCCGTGCGGCGGCCGATACTCACGGCTCAGCATGGTCAGGATGCGCTTCAGGTCCCGGTACTGGTAGTACAGCACGCACTCGGCGTACGCGCCGTCTCGACCGGCGCGTCCCGACTCCTGGTACAGGCCTTCCAGGCTTTGCGGCATCGAGTGGTGTATGACGAATCTGGCACAGGGCGGACAAGCGCGTCACTACAGCCCGACGACCGGCGGCCCTGAGCCGCGGCGTCGACACACCAGCCGAGCCCTTTGTGCGGGGGACTCTGTTTCAACATTTTCGGCAAGCGATGTTTGCAGCAATGCCACCATCTAACATAAGGAGGCAAAATGCGGGCCCAACAACAGCAGTCCCGCGCAAAATGCGGGCAGCCACGTCCTCGTACCGTGGGACCAGTGAGTGCGGACCCACCTGACGTTTGGCTTGTCGATGCCCATGCCGAAGGCGATGGTGGCGCAAATGACGTGTACCTCGCCTCTCAGCCAGCAGTCCTGCACGTCATAGCGCAGCTGGTCCGTCAGTCCCGCGTGGTACGAAGCAGCCTGGACAACACACGAGCGCCGTTGTTCCACGGACCACACAAGAACATTTTATTCCACCGCACAGCGACTACACTTGGCAATTTGCGTTCTGAAGCGAGGGCTGAACATCCTCTGGCGTTGCAGAAAGCATTAAACCACGTGACGTCACCGGGCATCCGTAGTTCCTAGACAACCACTAACATTGGAGGGCAAACATGAGAGCAGACGTTAATATGCGCCTCCGCTATGGCGGACGAGCATAACGTACCAGAAACATGTGCCTGCTGCCGATGGGAGGCCTCACCATGGCCGATGCTGATCATGCAGAAACGCCAGCTTCCTACTCTGTGTGTTCCAAACACACCAGAGGGGCCAACTGACAGGTATTTGACAAATGGCGTATTGTCATGAGAGATTCGATACAACTCAGGGTGCCTACTGATTCGACGATCCAGGAGGAGGCTTGTGTATGCCGGAGGGAACACCGCAGCACGACAACCCAACCCGGGCCGGCCCGAACAACCGCCGCCATCCAACCCACAAGTTACTACTCATATTCGTTTCGATAATCGCATGTAACCGAAATACCAATACATCTATCTCTCCTTTCTCCTGGTTATTCCACGAGGAATAACACTGATAGTACTGTGTTATCCACTAGCATGCAATGTGCTTTGCTGCTCTGGTTGCTTCACTGGCGTGCGTACTCAGCAGTGCAAGCTTCGGTCCGTTTTTACTAACCAGTAGTTCCCGTCAGCCGGTTTTAACCGGTAAAAACCTGGCTGCTTCAGACGGCGGCGGCCAAACCAACTGCACCATAAGCCACACATCACCTTGATCTTTTCTTTCTGCATAGCGTCGGCCACGTCGTCACAATCCTTCTTGGACAAGCAGTAGATGATGCCCGTCTTGCCAGGGAAGGTCTTGCGAATGTAAGCGGCTATGCTGGCCGTCACGTTGCCTTCCTTGGTGTGTACCGCATAGTGCAGGTTGGGGCGGTTAAAGCTGGACACAAACCTACGGCGGCCGGCAGAGGTCACCACCGACGCTCACCACCTGACTGAGCTGGTCGTCCAGTGCGCCCTCATATACGCCAGCACGCGCTAACAGACCGGCCAACCCAGGTCCGGCTGGCATTGAAGCACAACAGCAAACAAAACGGCGATGGCGGGAAACAATATTGGACTATACGTGGCAAGCAAAAAAGGGAAGTATGAACCGATGGATGTGAAAGCCATTCGTCTGTCTGAACACAAACAAGTTCGTTACATCCTTAACTGTTAAGAGCATGCAACGCAAATCCCTTCGTCTGCTATGTAAGCCTATTTTACCGCCCGTTACAGGCGTGACCGACGTTCTGTCGGCCCCAGCAACCTGGTACTACACCCTCACCACGCATTCGGCCCACTTATTCCGTGCAATGCCACCCAGAATCTGGCCGCGCCCGCTAGCTAGTGAGCCGGGGGAGGTGGGGCCGCCTTCCCACTGCCGTCTCTCGTCTGTAGCGAGCGTCGGGTGCGGCCGGCCGGCGGCCTACCATTTGACGTTGTCCGCCTCCAGTGCCAGCTGCTGCAGGATGTCGGCACGAACGCGCGGCGTGGCCGTGGCCGTTAGCGCCATCACCGGCGTGCCCGGGCAGAGTTGGCGCAGCTCGTGCAGCCGTTTGTAGTCCGGCCTATTGGGGAGGGGGGAGGAGAGGCAGCGTGAACAGTGGGTGGCACCTGACTGGTCCAGGGGGCGGGCCGAGCCGGCCCGCGCTCCGACGCTATCAAACGCTGCGGGCGTGGCGCGGAGGGGCTCAAGCTGATGTTTGGCGGCAAAACGGACACGGGTGGCGCGCTGCTGGCCCGGGCTTAGCTCGGCAGCCACGCAAGTGACAAGTCGGGTTAGTCGGGCTAATAGCTGGGGCTGCTAAAAAAGGGGGGACCACCAGCCACATCCAGGTCAGGGAGGGGAGGCGAAATAGGTACGTAAACAGCGAGGAACACACCTATGTCGTGCGGACCATCCGTCGTCAGAACAACATAATTTGCAATGCGCTAAAATATGTAAACGGTCAAAACCAAAATATTTAAAGCAAAGCCAGTGGATGACAAACGAAAGATGACCATCACTGGATTCCGAGCATCGACATCTACACACTCTTCAAATGCATGACAACCCAAAAGCTGACAAAATATTTAGCCTTTTTTAGATCGGTCCCACAGCCCGATCGTGAGATTCAGCGTCAGCGTCAGTAGTCCGACGCAAAATCTTAACAAGCCGCGATGCTTGACACGGTCTGTCCTGCCCTCTGACGTCATCTGACCTGCGAAGCCGCTATCGGCAGCCGCAGGTCATACTTGCCAGGTGTAATGGCGAGCACCGGAAGCGACTAAACCCCAACTCGCTCCAGTTGGGTGAACCGGAAGGAGGCGTTTTACCCTACTCAGCTATCGGGACGGAGTTGTCCTCACATTGAACCAGTTACGAGGTGTGCCGTGACCAGTCTAGAGGCAATTTCGGGTCATTGACTCTTCCGGAAATGACTTCAAAGCCACCTGAGGTGATGTGAGTGGCCGCGTTTACAATGCAGATCGTACGTACACGGGCATGTGTACCAAGGTCACCAAATTCAGCATTAATCCTCATTTACATGGAAAGCTAGATTGGAAGCGGCAAAAACGCGGTTAGACCCATTTTAACACATCCTGGTAGGTCAGCTGTACCAGACGCTACAAAACTCGCCCAGAAGAAGGCGTGGATTGCACACTCGAGCAACCTTTTTTTCGCTTTTCCTCTGGCACAGCGGGTTTCGAATCGGCAGGGTGCTGCGCTGGGGAAGGTAGCGGGAGTAGCTCTGCGGGGCGCGTGAGGGTCTCCGCCATGCCTCCACCTTGAGCCATCCGCGTACGAACAGCGGAAGCGCCGGCCGCTGACCGAAGCCTTTCGTTAGCGTCTAGCAGGCGTGCAGTCTCGTACGGCGATACGCGGACCGGATCGACTTAAAAATCGGGTTAGTGCTCCCAAACTCTTTCCGAACTTCCCACTGCACCGGTGCCGCACTCTGGGTGATGGCGGGCGCCACGGACTTGAAACTATGTCCTCACAGGGAACAGCAGTGGGCACCACCGACCCAAAGTTGCATCCCCAATGGCACGCGCCCCAAGTCCTGCTGACCACTCAGACCGGGGGGCACACATGCGCCTATCGACCCGGAGTCGTGTATCTTATGGGGGACAGCGCCATGCCGACCTGAATGTGTGTCGCCATTGGGAGACATGTAGGGTCACCCGGCCTGAAGTTGTCCCCAGTGACACACACACAGTGTCCTATCGACCTGAAGTGTGCTCAGAGGGAGACGCACGGGGTCCTACCGACCTGAAGTCGTGTCCCCATTGGGAGACGCAGTGAGCCTCATCGATGACCAGTCGGCTGAACAGACGGCGCCTGTGCAGAGACACGAGCGCCTTCTTCAGGCGTCCGCTGTTAACGACCATTTCCGGGGTGGTGTAGAGCAGCTTGACACCAGGCTTGGACCGCGCCAGCTCGCGGAACACTTGCTCGTTTGAACTCAAGCCGGACATGTGGGCGGCCGGGATCTGGCGGCGCGCGCGGCCAACAGGTCAGGTCAGGTCAGGTCAGGTCAGGTCACCAGCCGCCGTGGCAGCTGGAGCCAAAGTGACCCCCTCGGTCCCAAACAGCTCCTGCTGGGCTGCAACAATACTTGACAGGCAGCGCCTGACAAAAACACGCGCTACTCCAATATCACGCCTCCTCCAGCTCTGGGGGGCGCAACGGAGCACATCGTCCGGGCACGGGCATGTTCGTAATACTGATAAAGGGGAGCGAGTGTACTATGGGATGACCTTTTTCCCTTTCTTGTTCAAATGTCGATTCCCTGCTCCACTCGACGCGTCTTGGCGTGCGGTTCGAATACCAAGCTTGCGTTGCCAAATCGAAAACTTGAGATGGCAGCACGGCAATGCAGTTTTAGGACCGTGCATTTTTTATGCCATCCTCTGTACACATAAACGTTTCTTACACCATCAAAGTACATTCACAATGTTGATTGATGCACCATTCGTGTGCCAACAAAGTTGGACAGCCGTTAGACGCCTGTCCGCTGGCTCCTGTTCCCTGCCCTCTGACCCTCCTCCGCCCACGCTCTGCCCCGCTCCACCTACCTGGGCCTGATAACGGCCTTGGCCGTCGAAGCTGACTTCGTGTTCATACCTGAGTGGCTTCCGGGCGCCTGGGAGAACAATATCATCGCCAAACTGCACGCGCTAAGTCCCTGTCCCCACACCATGACACAAAGCTTCGATTGCGGGCAAGCGCGTCATGCTTATGTTTTAAATGCGGGCATATTCATGGTGCTTTGTGGTGATGCATCTCCTAGCCGCGGGACAGCGCACGTTCATCGTCGGATGCGAAACAAAACGCAACTGAAATATGACAGTGGGCATCATTCCCTGTAAGACGTAATACACAGTCCGCAATCTGACGCGTGCTGGAAACCTGAGACCCGCGTAAGCCGGTTCTGCTCCATAGCAGCATCCAAACAGCATTGCCATGAAGGTCATAGGTTAAGGCACGGGTGAAGGGAGACCGTATCATTTCAAACAGAGAACACTACGTATATAAGGGCCGGAATCTACATCGGTCTGCTAGGCATTTGATGCGTGCTGTTTCTTGTTACAGTGCATTTCATCGCTGTCTGGAATAAAGGGCGTCCTCAGATCCCGGTCCCAAAAATTCCACAACTTTTCACAGCTCAAGGCAAGCGCGAATGCCCAAAGATGCGCGAAAGCGCATCGAGGACGGGCACACGGTAGAAAAACGGCGCCAATTTTTGACTTCGTTGGAAGAGACCTTGTTCAAGCAGATGAGATCGCTTCGAAACGATCAAATGAAGCATAGATGTGAGACTGAGACAATACGTCACAAACGGCGATTATGGATTAGTTACGACAACCGTCTCTTATACTAAATGAGTCTAGAAATGAGGTCATAGATAATCTCGTCTGTATGAGATAAGGCAAGTCTGATCTCATTTCGGAATCTGTTCAGCACACGTGCTCGGCACTTGATTGATTTCGCGTCAGCCCGATTTTTTAGTCTGCACCCTCCCCCTTATCCTCCCACCCCGAGCCTATAAGCAGAGAAAGCCAGGGCCAGGTCACCAGAGATGCAAGCTTCATGTAGTACTGGTGAATGACTTTTAACTTTCCATTTTCGGCACAAAAAGGCATCCCCAATGGCCGGTGTTGACTCGCCTCGCTAGGTACAAGTTCTCTCCCCGGCCCATGAATCGCTCCCACCTTTCTTCAAACGCAAAATATCTGTTTTGGGTATACTTTGGCATAATCGGAACAGCTTAATAGCATGACATACGAGCGAATGCCATTACGACGGCTGTGTAGCCGGGAAGTGGGACAGTTGTCAAAGAAAACCACCGGCATGATCTTCATGTCTCTGCGGGGCCCGCTACGCTCGAAAAATCACTGTGATGACAACGCCCTCTATGATGAAAACCAGCAACAATAGGACATGACATGACTATTAGTATAGAGTACTATGGACTATATGAGAGCGACTAGATGGCCTGCCAAGAACACACGGGTCATCTGAGCGATATCAAATGTTATCTGCACATGAAAAGAACGTCTAGCGTTTTTGGTATACAGATGATGACACACACAAGTGCAATTTTCTAAAAACTTCATAACGGCCAGGCATATGTGACGTCACATCGTTTCAGCTTTTCACCTGTCTTGAAATTTTGATTTTGGCAACGAAAATGTAATATTGGAACTCGAAATTCCATGACAATAGTGCCCGAAAACTGCTGTTCACAAAAAGGGGTGAACGGTCACTCTAATATGCCATTTCCGCGATCAATGGCCACAGCGCCGACGTCTGCCAGACACCACAGCCCGGCCACAGCGGAGGCGAGGGACAGCTGCCCAACTCACGTCCAGGGAGTTCAGCTTGCTGATCTGGTCCTGGATCAGCGATTTCAGGGGAGATATGACGACAGTGACGCCCGGCTCCATCAGCGCCGGCAGCTGGTAACAGAGGCTCTTGCCCCCACCTGCCAACCACGTCCGGCCAGTCAGCGAAAAACCGCCGCGCCGGCTGACACGAGACACCGGCACAAGCATTCATTCCAGGCCAGTCGGTCTGACCCCAGCCCCCCGCGCGCTATGCGGGCGACGATGTGCTGATGACCAACCCCGGCGCCCGCCCGTGTCGACGGCCACCCCAGACGCCCGTCTGTCCGCCGGCCACCCCCGACGTCCGTCTGTGTCGCCGGCCACCCAGACGCCTGTCTGTGCCCCCGGCCACCCAGACGTCCGTCTGTGCCGCCGGCCACCCCCGACGCCCGTCTGTCCGCCGGCCACCCCCGACGTCCGTCTGTGCCGCCGGCCACCCAGACGCCTGTCTGTGCCGCCGGCCACCCAGACGTCCGTCTGTGCCGCCGGCCACCCCCGACACCCGTCTGTCCGCCGGCCACCCCCGACGTCCGTCTGTGCCGCCGGCACCCCAGACGCCTGTCTGCGCGGCCGGCCACCCAGACGTCCGTCTGTGCCGCCCGGCCACCCCCGACGCCCCACCCGCCTGCCGTGTTTCGTATCTATGGCTGCCACCTCACGGGGGCGCAGCCGCCCGGCCAGCCGCCAGCGACCGCCGGGAAGAATGCCGGCCCGCCTCAAGTTCACGCTCCCCCTCAGGGCCCCCCCCCCCCTCCTCCCCCTGGCACCCACCTGTCGGCATCAGGACGAAGGTGTCGCACTTCTTCAGCGCAGCCGTCACAATCTCCCTCTGGTTCTCGCGGAACTCGCGCAGGCCGAACATGGTGCGGAGCACCTACCGCCAGACAGGCGTGTGACGTCACAAAGCAGGTCGAGTACAGTGCGCAGCGTCCGCCGCCAGGCATATGTGACGTCACATCGTAGGTCGAGCAGTGCGCAGCGTCCGCCGCCAGACAAATGTGACGTCACACAGCGAGCCGAACACGGCGTGGCAAGTCCGCCACTAGACAGGCGCGTGACGTCACATAGTAGGTCGAAGATGGTAAAAAAACACCCGTCGCCCGACAGGCGTCTGACGTCACACGGTAGACCGCCGGGTCTTGGACGGGCCACGGACAGGGGCGGGGGCAGGGGTGGACAGAAATAGGGGAGCAAGCGGTGCAGGTGGGAAAAACGAATTAGGAAAGGTACGGGACAGGGCACCCAAGCGGATAGGGGCGGAACAGAAAAACGCAAGATATTATAAAACCTATCCACTGCCTGCAAAAATCGCTTGTAAAGGACTCATCAAAATCACGTGTGTGGTAACCTAGTGACAATCATCGATAACCAATCATATCTTGGTTGCTCGTGCAACAAGTTAACCGACGTACCTCGGTTCAACAAGGCGTCGACATCGGAAAAAAATCACGCTGAAAGAGAATAGCTGACACGGCTCAGAAATTCCGGCAGAAAGGTCGCTGGTTTATTCCCTCGTTGCAGGCCTTTTGAATTCCATCACCGTGTGTCATCACATCATAATGTGGACTGGGCTTTCAACCCATCGCTTTTACATCCAGCACCTCTTCGCCATCTAGACTAATGCCATCCCATGACACTTGTCAAGTCAACTCTGACTGTAACCCGGCAAGAATACAGATTTGCCGACTGAACTTTTCTGATGACATATCGCAATGCAGGCGATGGACATCGCGGGATGCGGAACAAATTCAGGGACCTGAACAGTGAGCAGGATTACTGCCGTAGTTTTCTACATGACAGAGAAGTGACGTGGTGGTCCTTGTCAGCATGGGAGCCTACACCGCGCTCAAAAAGTGTTCTTAAAACACAAAATAGATGCAAAGATTTTTAAGATAATTTTGGGGTCTGAGCAGCGAAAAATGACCACCTGGCCCCAAAATACGCCCACAAGCAGGCTTCTCCCCGGATATTGCTCATTATCTCTCATGAATTGGGGGCTGGGGTGGGGCTGAAACCGGAGTTGGGGAAGAAGGGGGGGGGGGGGCTGAAGCACTCAATCTGAATAGGAAACTACACCTTAAAACAGCATTCGCCTACCTTCATCATCGTACCAAGCTCTAGTCCTCTAGTTCTGTAGAGCTGGACCCTCCAGCGTCAAGTTACTTCACCAAACAGGTATAACGACACAGACCCAATGCCCCACACGACCGCCCACAAACCTAAGCACCAAATATGAGTGCGTGATATGTAGTGATGACGTTTTCGGCAACTTAACTCGCACGCTAAGAACTTGCAATTTTTAATTGGCATGTGCGGTGCCCCATGATCGCTAGTATTAACATGTCTATCCAATTACAGCGAACAATACCACGCCCTCATTCTGCCTTTACACTTATCGTCTTGCATCTAAAAATGCCAATTTTTATTCATTTTTGCGTTCTCCGGGCTTGCAAGTACCCTCGGGCCGTACTGAGCATGTATTAACGCACACTACTGGCTCGCCGTCCCTAATATAATTGATGATTCTCACACTAGTAAACCGAAGGTGGTATTCCGTTGAGGCCCGTTACAGAGAGACACAGTTCAGGAAACTGTGACATTTCACGTTACATGCACGTTGTGGCTGGGAACAAAATGGCACCCATGCATGCTTGCACCCACAAACATACCACAATAAATTTAACAGGATACGCAATTACAGCGAATAGAGTGAGGAGCAGCAGACACATTGCGCGGCCGACGACACGGACACCTGATCTCACCCATGAAAATCCAGAGGTAATTACTCAAATGGTCACTGACACACTCATACACCTGTTTCCCAACAAGGCACAACATGAGCCCCAGCGCCCAAACGAAACCCTCCCCACGACACAAACCGTCAACGACCCCTCAGAGCGATGCAACTCATGCACGTACACCACGAGGGACGTCAAACGCAACTGGTGTCAGCCCGCTCCCCTCTGTCCACGCCGTGACACTCACCTCCCAGACGCGGTTGCTGGACACTTCGGCATTGCCTTCAGTCTCCGCCAGGTGGCTACGGTCAAGGTTGACGGCTTCGTACGAGGCGGGGCCGGTCGCTCTGTTGCCGTCGACCGCCGGTGCTGGCCACGCCTCTGCCCGGCCAGGAAGGCGTCGTCAGCGCGCGCCGGCACCGCCCACTCCAGCACCGCTCAAATGCGGGCCAACTCTGCAGGCTGAGGCCGCCGGCGGACCGTCCCAGCCGACCGGGAGTGTGGGCACGGGTGCACGGGGTCACGGGGTCACGGAGGGGAGTTACGGGGTCATAGGGAGACGAGAGCCGACGCCCGACGCTGTCGGCGCAGCGCCGGGCCCGCGGTCGGTGCGGCCCTGCCTCGGCCTCGGGGACCGGCGCGCGGTGTGAGCTCACTCCCATCAGTCCCCCACCTGCTGTGGCCGGCGCGCTGGGGGGCGGCGGCGGCGCCGGTTCGGCGGCTGGCCGTGTGGCAGGACCTGGCGCGCCAGACCAGGGCGCCCCGGGGTTGTAGTTGCCGGACGGCGCAGTATCGCACGCGGGGCTTGTCCAGCCGGGCGGCGCAGTGGCGCTAGCGCCGCCGGGCGACCAGTCGGCCAGGCGCAGCTTGCGGTAGGCGGCCAAAAGGCGGCAGCACTTGCTGGCGTCCAGACCGCGCACCTGCCGCAGCGCCTCGGCCGGCAGCTCGCCCAGCATGTCGCAGATCCTGGCGGCCATCTTGGCCGCCTGCGGGCTCAGCTCTTGACCACTGGTCTGGAGGAGCGGTCGGAGCGCAGTTCTATACGGCGCACACAGTTCGTTCCCTAGCCCGCACGCGAGCCAGCCGGGCACAGGTTGCCGAGTTGGCTCAGCTGCAACCTTCGGACCTCTAGACTGCAGAGTAAAAACCAATCACTGACGGTCGCATGCAACGTCCGATGGTGTTGCTGATGCTTGATGAAACCTTAGCATCGCTGAGCGTTATACTGCGTCGCAGGCACTTGCGGTATGCAGCGCAAGCCTTGTTACTCGGACTCCACGCGGTGGCGCACAACATGCCGTACCACATGCCACACCATAGATGGACCAAAGACACAACAGACACATATGACTGCAATTTCGGGACTATCCGTCTTCCGAAATGCGTCCGGTACCCCTCCCAGGTGACAGCGTCAGCTGTACCCCCGCTGGCGAATAGACGCCGAAGATTCACCACCCACTGGGGTCAGAGGCGCCGCCGCCGCAGGTGGGATGGTGACGTCACAGCTCGTCCAGGCGGCTGCAGGCTGCGAGGAGGCGATCATCTCGTCTTCACCGTCCACCGGAGCAGGCTGCACCCGGTCGTGGCGCCCGCCTGAAGCAGTGGACGCCAGATGCATCACATGGGGTCTGGCTGGAGGAGTGCAGACCAGAAATGTCACATGGGGTCCGGCTGGAGGAGCACAGACCAAACATTACACAGGGTCTGCCTGGAGGAGTGCAGACCAGAGATGTCACATGGGGTCTGGCTGGAGGAATGCAGACCAGAGATGTTACATGGGTCTGGCTGGAGGAGTGCAGACCAGAGGTCACATAGGGGCTGGCTGGAGGAGTGCAGACCAGAGATGCTACATGGGGTCTGGCTGGAGAAGTGCAGGCCAGAGGTCATGTGGGGTCTGGCTGGAGGAGTGCAGACCAGAGATGTCACATGGGGGCTGGCTAGAGGAGTGCACACCAGAGGCGTGCACCGACACAGCTGGACAAACCACTGCACGCGCACCTGCCGCGGTCTCGTCCGCCTCGCCCTCGTCCGAAGGCCAGTCCGGTGGCAAGTCCGGTGGACCATCATCCACAGCCCAGTCCGGTGGACCATCATCCACAGCCCAGTCCGGTGGACCATCATCCACAGGCCAGTCCGGTGGACCCGGGTCAGGCGGGCTCGGCGACGGATGCTCGATGTGCGCGGCCGGCCCTGCGCCAGAGTCGGCCGGCCGGCCGGACGCCAGCTGCGGGACAACGGCGGCGCTCACGTGACGCGCACCACAAGCCGACGGCAGGCAGAGATCGGCGGGCGCTCGGGCAGGCGCAGCTAACAGACGCGCTACCGGGCTGGGCGGGTTTCAGTTGGCAACACGCAGATGGACAGATCATCAGTGATGCTTGAACACACGCATTTCCCGATGTGCAAATTCTGAAAGCTGCACGACATGCGAAAGCAACACGCAGCCGCACATCGAGCCACCGGCGCACATCGGTCTCACGACCACCAAGAGATGAGAACCCGCGGCTGAGATCAGTCTCCAGCAGCGGGCGAGCGGCCGGGGTGATCAGTCCAGTCCCGGGGTGCCGGCCGTGACCGCCGCCTGCCGCGTCCCACCTGCGCCGAGCGGCCGCCCGTGGCGGCTGGGTCCGGCATGGTGACGCTGACGATCTCGCAGTCACTGTCCCCGCTGCCCTTCGGTCCCGAGCCAGGGCCCTCCCCGGCCGCCGACGCCAGCTGGTGGCCGTCGGCGGCGCGGACCGGCCGGTCGGCAGCGAGGGCGTCCGCCGCCACCGTCTTCGCCGCCCGACGGACTGGCTCAGTGACTGTGAGTGAACACCAGGCAGCACTATGAGGAGGCTCCAGAGCGTCATCCAATGACGAGTGCTGCACATGATGATGCAGCTGCCAGCAATGCCCGGGGAGACGTGGATGGAGGGTCAAAATGTGCTCTGGTGTCACAGGAACCACACACAAGTGTAATGCACAGGCACACAAACTTGGGAAAAAATCTGGACAGGTTTGCAGTGGCCGCATGTGCCTGTAGGCGGCCCTGTGCACGCATCCTCTGCATGCAGCATACATATGCGAACATGCATATCCTGACTCACACTCACTCACACAATGCAGTATCTGCTCTAAACAGGACCACTTACCAAAGCTACTGTTGAGATCAAAGTCATCAATATCATCATCACAACCATCCAGAGGCAGTGAAGGGCGTCGGCTCAGTTGCGGCGCACATGATGTGGAGGTAGCAGGCCGCTCCTGTCTTCCTGGGAGACTGGCAGGCAACGAGGAGCGAGTGGCAGCCACGGGCCTTGCAGAAGAGGGCCATCATTAAAGGAATGCCTTCCCCCTGATTTTAATGGATGCTACTGATGAAGGCTCCACCGATGATCAAGCCACCCATGGTAAATATGGCTGATTTCTTTTGAAGATTTTGGCTGTTCCAAAATCCTGTCAACCTTTTCAGACCACACCAAACTCACTATGACTTGATGTTCTCAGGTCTTTTAATACTTCCAAACATAGTTCATGATTGTCCCAGTCCTTTGACCACTGTGGGGTAACTCAGCTGTCTCTCACTACCTTGCCATGTCAGATGTCTGATATCTGTCACTATATCAGGAGCCATGTCATCTGCAGTGAATGCATTTTTGAGGGCAGGGGAACATGGCTGCTTGCAGTTCTGCCACTGACAGTAAGTCAAAGCCTAATTATAGGCACTACTTGGCTAACCCTGGCAGGATCTTGGCCAGTTCAAGCCCCATTGATCATCTTGGGGTCCCATAGCTATTCTGGAAGGGAGGGCTTCTTTATCTTTGCAGCACATTGCATGTCCTCAGCATCTGTGCCTGTTATATAAGCCCCTGACTGTTTTGAGCTCTGAGTCATTTTGGCCACACATGAAGACAGTTCATGGGGCCTAGAGTTTGTGATATCACACAGTCCCTGTCATAACTGTTTTGGTTGAGCCATGTGTTAAAGCGAGTAAAGAGCTTCATTGCCTTTAGGAATTTGTGGGCTTCCACAAGCCTGTGGATTTAATGCCTCTTGAAACCTAAGGGCATGGTGCCTCAAAATAAAGCATTTGGTGTCCCTGCCCTACATAAGCAGAGCCAGGTCTTCATGAAAGAGGTAGCCTGGACATAGCAGCGCCACTGAAATTTGATGCTTCTTTAATCTATTGATTTGGATTTTTGCTGCTGAAATTTGCATACTTTAGAAAATCAAGGTTGCATAGTTCCCAGATGAAGGTGTAGGTGCTCCCTGCACATTGACATCTTGGTGCCCTGAAATGGCACCAAGACCTCATAAGGGCAAGGGAAGGGGAAGATAAAAAGCAAAAAATTGATGCTATGTCAAACATGTCTGACATAATAGCAGAACCACACCAACAGCTTTGTGTATGCATCATAGATCTGACAACACTGTTTGTCACAGTCAGCATTAATTTCAGCATATAGAGAGCCAATGTTCAGGGCACTATGATCTTGCAATGTTAATTTCAGGCAAAATATTCCAGACATCCTTCAAAAAATACAGGGAAAATTCACACAATTTGGCCTGACCCGTTTGGTGTACACAAATGCAGGATACAGCAGTTCGAGTGATCTCAGGTAAGCATGCAACACCATGAATGTATTTTTGCAGACTGAGAAATGTAGTAGTGCCCGAATTGTTTTGGTCCTGGGACGGGCCAGTCGCACAGTTCACATCAAACAATACCTTGGAACTGTGATTTGTGGAACCACAGGGAGACTGAAGAAATACTGTACAGATGAATTTCGTTGGGGGTCACCTGCTTGAGACTTAATCGCCTTAAACTTGTATGGTCCAGACTTTCTCGCAGACATCTCGACGTCGATTTCGGAAAACATCGATACGCAGGGCGCTCCAATCGGTTCCCCCGGGAAAAAACCCGCCGGGGCACCCGCGTACCTCAAGCGGCAACACATCCTGGAGAATATTTAGTACGAACCTTTTCTAAGAGGGAAAGGGTGCTTAGCACCGATTCGTACTAAAAGTGCGCAGTTTAGGACGATCGATACTAAACAGAGCAGTCCGGTAACACACGACTGAAGAGAGGAAATGAGGCTATGAAGAGATGAGCATCGTGAATTTGTTTTTTGTTTGATCGGAGTAGAAAACCATCATTACTTTGGGATCCCAATTTCCATTTGAATGTGAGTTGCTCGTAGGAGGCGGCGTGGTCGGTTGGTTCGTGGTCAGTGGGGAGCATGGTGGAAGTGATTAGAAAGCGCACCTGGAGACACTTTTGCGCGTTATTTGCAAAAGAGTGTTATCTACCGGCTAAGTATGATACTGATATGTGGGGCCTAGCTGGTGCACGCATCGGACCCGTCCAACGTTTGCAGCTGGGTCCCATGTGGATCCGAGATGGGCAATCAGATAGGGCCCGCCTGGGTTTGCTACTTCGGGCCCATGCGGGCATGCCATGGGCAACCAACTGGGTCCCACATGGAAACCCATGTGGGGCCCTTGTGGGGCTCAGTCAGTACACACATGGGACCCACTTGGGCAGCCCAGATGGGACCCATCTTGGCAGCTCAGTTGGGACCCATCTGGGTAACTCAGTTGGGGCCCACACGGGCAAGTCCAGCTGGGACTCATATGACGAGGCCAGATGGGGCCCATATAGCTATCCCAGATGGGACCTGTTTAACCACCCCAGATGGGCCCCAGCTGGGCTTCACCGATCTGCCATTTCAAATTCTACCTGCTTGATTGATCGCCGTAATTCCAGGTGAAATGCTTCATGTCATGGATAATAAACCTGGTCAAAACTTATCCATCATGTATTTGACCGAAGACGCCTCGGCAACAGCACCATTGCGCAAGACATACACTTCCCTGTTATCATGCCCGATGCGACAATCACTAAACCATTCAACAGATGTTATGTGTCGCCGTTGCCGCCGTTGTTGGTGCGATGTTTCCTGCCGTCGTCGCAGTCTCTCCCACCGAAACCACTTTCCTGGTACCTATTTCGCTTTGTTGTGGGATGTACTGTAGCGCGGTGTGTTGCGCGCATATGTTTTTTTCGTACACGCTTTTCTAGGCAGCCCATGTAAACAACAACAACATTTCTTAGACTGGAACATAGTAGCTGTCAGCTGTCTATACGTGAATACGATATTGTCTCGATAGATCATTTTTTAGCGCGGCTGCTCGGGGATCCACTCACTCACTAAAGAATGAGTTCGGGTCATTTTAGGCACTCGCTCTTTGTCCCTGGAATGGATGGCCTGCGGCTGATGGCAACACAAGCTGTCGTCAATGATTCATACGTGCACTTGTTAAAATGCCTGAAATAAATATTAAAACAGTAAATTCCGGGGAAGTACTGCCAGTCCAGTTTCAAAAAGAATTCTGCCATTTCTTTCTTACGTTACAACTGCAAAACTTGGTTTGCTTATGCTTATCCGGGAAAGTGCTCAGAGAAATGGAATAGGTAAAATAAGTTTGTCTTCGCCTTGTTCATCTTGTGGAATTACCAATAATTGTGGTAAGGAAATCCTCGCTGTAAATTCTAGCAGAATTGTATGTGAAATACGAGCTGAATATTACAAACCCGTATGGTACAATACCTGATTTCCCAAGCATGATGATTCTGGAGCAGCACTAGTTGTCTTTGACGGAAATGTCTTATCGCTGTGCCAGCTTGCTGGCAGACATACTGCTTCCGGGCGACCAGGACCAGTGCTCAAGCAGCGTTCCAGAGCAGAGCAGGAACAGTTCTCAGCAACATTTCAGCAGTACAATAGTAAATCGTTTCTCCATCTAACCAAAGACTGGGGATGCTGCCCATCCCTCGCCCATCCCTCCCCCCCCCCCCCCCCCCCCCGTCTCGAAATTCGCAACAGCGAGCCTCATCCTGCTGGAAAAACACGCAAAAGGGGCGTAAGCTGAAAAATACCAACATTACGTCGCTGGCGTATTGGAAGCAAGCACATCAGGAGAAACAGGCGGTGAGGTGCCGCAAACGTATTATCGCATATGTAAGAAGTCATGCATGTCCAAGGCCTCGTCTAAGACCTTTTCTATGAACGGGGAGGTGAAATATTTCTTGTCCACACATAATTAGCCTCACATGACGCCCTACACAATGACGTGAACCGACTTCATTTAATTATGGTTCATTTAATTAGGGAGGGGGTTTCCACGCCACTGGGTGGGGAGGGATGCATAACACTGGAGGGATTTCGCCCTCTTTTCAGCATGGGTGCACGGCATCCTGCAGGGCACAGCACGGCCCTGCGAGTGTACCGGTCGTAGCAACACCATATCATTTTAAAAGGGACCTTGCCACACGAAAGCCCAAGCAGGAAACGGAAATGATTTCGCACAACGCACACTCACCGGTGCACCCAGTACGCAAACAAAAACATTTCCAGGAGCCGTCCTCCCTGCGCGCCAACCTGTCTGGGGAATGTGGCCACCCTTCCAGTGCCGCGCACCGGAACGGTCCCCCCCCCCCCCCCCCCCGGCCGCCAGCCGCCAGCATAACAACCAGGGCGCCGGGGCGGGGACAATGTGACTAAGCATGGGCGAGGGAACGATCGCGTTATTTGGGGGGGGGGGGGGCTTTGCAGATCGAGCTTACCTCCATACAACTGAGATAATTTAGCACTAGGCTCGCGTCGGTACATGGAACAAAACACCTCAAATGCTTTGCTCCCCCCCCCCCCCGCCCAATTATCGACAACTTCCTTTGCTCCTGTGACCAAGAAGGGGCAAGGGGTGAGTCAGCGCCGGCAGAAGCGAGGGCCAAGATCCAGCGGCGTCAGGCACAGCGGGGTGCAAAGGATTTTTTTTATTCATTGTACAAAGAGCAGGTTTGGACAGCTGGACTGTCGGCGTCCCCGGTGTGGCGTCAGCGAACGGCTCCGTCCGCCGCGTCCGTAGTTCGGTGCAGGGAACATGCCTTGTTTGTGAGGGAATCCCCATGCTCAGTAATATGTATACACAGAGCATTGCCGCTCATCTCCAGGTTGAAGTTACAGCTTAATGTCAGTAACTTTGAATGAAGTCATAACAACATGAGCCAGCAAGCACTGATTGTCAGTTGTGTGCTGCTGTTGCAGGCAGCACCAACGTTGGAAGCCTGTTTTTGGTCACCACCAAGACAAATATTTTAGAATAAAAATGCTCTTGGAAAAAGGACTTGTGAATTAGGCAAATTCATACACAGGTCTCACCCAGCAAATGTGCATCATACGCATGACGAAAGTGCGTTGGGCAAAAGAGCGTGCGAAAGGGCTATTACCAAAGACCTCGTCAGCAAATGTCTGTATGGCTTAGAGAACACCTGCAAAATACTTGTTATCGCAAAGGTTGACGAGGAAGAAAAAGCTCCTAGGCAAAGGGTTCGCATGCGCAAAGTAAGATGTGCTGGAAACATAAACCTGCTTGACGAAAACGCGCACGTAAAAATTCCTAAGTAACGGTGACGCCGCATCGATTGTTTGCATGCAACGCACTCCTATGAAGACGTTTCAGAAAAAAAAAATATATCACCCGATTATCAACTTATTCACGCCACTTCTCCGATGTCGCCTGAATACTGTGTGTGGGAGATGGATTCGTGTCTTACTCATGGAATGAAGCATATCTTTTTTACAGTGAGTGTGTCTAATGCTTTCGGTTTCCTCAATGCACCCCTGAGGGAGGTTTGGCAATTATCCATGGTTAATTTTGGCTGCTTAATGTGCATTTCAATCTGGAAGCAGTTTGCATTTATTTATTCCTATCGATCTCATCGATGGCTGTGCGTGAACAAACACAATCCAAAAAGATAAACCAATCGGCGGGCAGGAAAGGACGAACACAGTGACTTATATGTTGCGAGTAACTGCGCGCCAGAGACATGACCATTATTTTGGTTGCTAGGCAACGTTAACATTATTTTGGTTGTTCGGTCACGTAATGCGATCACATTCCCCTAGAGCCTGGTGCAGCCGATTGATACGACACAATGCTTGTTCCTCATTTTAGTATATCGTAGGCCGACATGAATTCGTGCGTATGAACTGACCAGCCTTACCATACGTCCAAACCCACACACTCGCACCCCTCAGTTGAATGTAAACAACAACAAAAGAACAACATAATGGCCACCGCCGTCGCCGCATTCGCAAGCTGCCGTCAGCGCTGACAAGCAACATTCTCGAAAAGCCATTGGCTAAAGCTGGCAATGCCTACTCAATGATGTCGATATGCTTAGTAGTGATTATTGCTTGGGGGCTATCCGATAACTTCATTCTTCCATACAAAGCGAAGACAGTTTGTGGGCTGCGGCTATATCTCATCCGTGGAGACAAACTTGTGGAAGCCAATGGCACCAAGATTTGTAAATCAAGAGTCCCTACCATCCTACGTGCACAGTCAAAATTTTTAACTTGACTAGACACACCCCCTTTAACTATCCGGTGTTCCGTTTAAATATTACAGCTTTGGGAAATGTTCGTCAGTCCTCAAACAAAATTATAACGAAAAACCCTGAAAGCGGAAAAAACTTTGTCAGAACATCATTTAGATGTTGAGCTTGACAGCGACAAATAACTGTGAATTCCTGGACTTCGTATTGCACAAAAAATAAAGCGGCGATCTTTTTATCTTCCTTCGCCGTTACACAATGACGTTAAGCTTCTGGCCGATTTTATTTTTCAAAACACGAAGTGGACGTTCATGTGTTTTAACACGTGATCTATGTTTTTTGTGGTTTTGAGCTGTAGCAAACCTTATTAGGTTTGCTACAGCTCGAAACCACAAAAAACATGGATAACCTGTTAAAGCACATGAACGTCCACTTCGTGTTTTCTGTGCCCTCTGGTGCGGCCATGTTGGGGATTTATG